GGAATGCCGGGATAACGGCTGCGCGAATCTCCCCTGCCAGAACGGCGCCACCTGCCAGCCCATCTTCGAGGAGGATCTCACCTGCGAGGGCCACGACTGTCTAATAGGACCGAGGGCCAAGCGCCGAAGCCTAAAGAGACGCAAGAACCGCAGGAGCAATCCCGACCTCAACATCATCAAGTGCAAGGGTAGCCAGTGTAATGTCCTCGACAGGCCCGGGCATCGCGATCACAACAACAACAATAGTAACAATCCAAGAAAAATGTGTCTCGGTCCGGGCTGCGATTACGAATACGATTTAGATTACGACGAAAGCTACGAGCACCAGGTAGTCTTATGTCACATTATCTGTTTAATTACATACGCGCATTGACCACTATGATTATTGTAATATAATAAAATACATTTGGCTGTTCTTTATTTTGCCTGACTTTCGAAGTAAATTTGAAGGACATGAACTGCTATACTTTAATTTTCATTTGCATTGTTCTTGCAATAATGTTAAAAGTATTTAGTGCATTATGTTATAGTTTCTATAATTATTATATATTTCTATATCGTATATTCCAAATACGTTTAATAAAATTCAAAACTAACGTTAAACCAGGGTTACGAGGCTGCCGATTTGGAATATCAGTGCATCTGTCCGCCGCAATATACAGGAAAAAATTGCCAAGATTCGCTTGATCCTTGTATGAGCGAACCCTGCCATCATAGCGCGACTTGTGACATTTTACCCGAAGGTGGTTACGTATGCAAGTGCCGACCCGGACGGACTGGAGTGCATTGTGAAACGGGTGAGTTAAATCCCAAGAAGAATATCCCAATTTAGTATTAATTCATATTTTCCATTAATTAATTGCCTGTCGTGCAGTTATAAGACTACTTGAAATATTAATTTTAAATAAGAATAAAAATTGATAAAGTTTCGCTTCTCATCTGAGCCAATTGGTACAATTTCAGCACATTTACTCGTATAAATAGCCGATATTTTAGTCAAAAAATTTTAAGTAAATCCAACATTATAATAATAATAGATTTGAATTCATAATAAAAGTAAATATGTAGTAAGTAAATTTACAATAAATGAATGCGTTTAATGCATAAAAAATTATGGCTGAAACTTAATATTTGTGTTGGATAACTAATAGGTATTACAATATTTCATCAAGACGTGCTCAGAAATATTTTCATAAAATTCAGATTAATTCATTATGGTAAATTAAATCTATATCAATCACTATATTTGTTATAATTACTGAGCTAATTTTATAACTATGAAAATGTATTAGTGGCCATTATAATTAAAATTAGCGAATATAAACTACATTTTTCATCCTGTGTTTCGATATGTAAATTGAAAATTAATTAATTTTAATAATTACTTAACATATTTATCCACGATACATCCGAATTTTAAATTCATAGTCATCGACATTGCAAATGCTTTTAAAAATTATTCGGTATATAAAATAATAATAGTAATATTAGTAGTAGCATTAGTAGTAGTAGTAGTAGTAGTAGTAGTAGTAGTAGTAGTAGTAGTAGTAGTAGTAGTAGTAGTAGTAGTAGTAGTAGTAGTAGTAGTAGTAGTAGTAGTAGTAGTAGTAGTAGTAGTAGTAGTAGTAGTAGTAGTAGTAGTAGTAGTAATTAGTAGTTATAATGATGTATTAACTGTTTTGTTAAATAAAAGCGAATTTTCCATCTAAGAGATATTAAAATCTCCAACTCCCTAACGTCTTTTTAATATTTAATCGAATTTCCACGATTTCTTGCAGGAATATTTTAATTTAATGAAAATAATATCTTCATAACTAGCATAGCGACTCCTTCTATTTTTTTATATAATTTAATTATAGTTTGATAATTTGAAATCATGGACCGAGAAAGCAGAGGAGCCGGGCATATAATCCATATATGGACGCGATAAATTTATGCTCTGACACAGGTGACCTTACGGTATTAAATTGAAATTTATTATAAGAGGCAATTTAAATTCAAATTAAAAGACGTATTTATAATGTTGTTTAGAGATCATTTTTACAAATTAATCTCTCGATATATAGAAAATAACGTAGATATAATGTTGCTGCTAAAGGTCGTAAATATTCGATATATCTCGGACGAATTAAGACGTTGACTCGCCCTGATCCACACTTCCCTCACTAAACTAAATGTCCCATTCCCTACAATATTAAATATACGCCGAATATGTATTGCCTTTTATTCAAAATATAATAACTGTCTGTTTAAATTATGAAGTGCTATATTAATTATTGATTCGTTTAATGGAATTAGATTTCGAATTATTTAAATAATAACGATTGGATTGTTATCGCTCGTACCACGATAGCAGCAGAGACGATTATATTAAAATTAATTTCAAATTAACAATACACATTATTCCAAATGTTAATTAAAGAGTCGATAACATAACCTCGTCGCTCGGATATTTCATAAAACATACGTATATTAAATTTTTGCAATGAAAATACTTTTCCAAGGTGACGCATCGCATTAACTTTACGTTAATTAATTTTCACCGACTAAGCCATTTATCTTAGGAATATTCTTAGATAAAAATTGAAGTCATAGGTATAATAATCTAATCATCCCCCAGTAGCTTAATATGCAATTATTCGAAACTAACGATGCCGTGCGCACCAAATGACAAAACGACTTGCGATTCCCAGTGGACTCGGAATTGACGGAGTTCCTTGTACCGGAATTATCGGGCGACGGCTACCTGGAGCTCCCCTGCCTCGAGGGCGTCGGCCGCACCTTCTCCATCGAGCTCTGGTTCCTGACGCGTGCGAGTGACGGCCTTCTCCTTTACAATGGCCAGCTGAGCAACGGCAGGGGTGACTTCATCAGCCTGAACCTCGTTCAGGGCAGACTAGAGTTCCGCTTCAACCTCGGCAGCGGCATCGCCAACATCACCTCGCCGGATCTCGTGACCCTCGACACCTGGCACAGCGTCCGCATAAGCCGACTCGGACGCGAAGGTCTCCTCAGGCTAGACAACGGCACCGTCGCCCGAGGATTTTCCGGTAATCCGCTCACCGAGCTCAACCTCGAGATGCCACTCTACATCGGCGGTGTCAAGTAAGTCGTCCATTAGATCACAACTGCCTGAGTTATTACCGATGCTTCGATATAACATGTGATTTCAAGTTGACTCGTAACCGATCACATCTTTATTACAAAAATCCAACGATTCTGTGGAAACAATGAAAAAGTTCATTTTTTAAGAGGCCAATCCTACTATTTTACGTTGCTCGATACTTTCCCAATTTAAATAGAATTATTATAAAACATTATGCTGGTGAGTAAAATTGCGCTACTATTGAAATTTAAAAGCATAACATATAAAAAGATGTTAATATATATTATATATATATATATATATATATATGTATATACATAATCGAATGTTCAATTTTCTTTAATAATTTCCTAAAGCCAAAACGTTTAACCTTAAAAATAGCTGGACCATTCAAAGATTTCATACGTCAATATTTAACGGTATTATGATTATAAAATGTTGCTTGAAAAATTATATATTGATTTGTAAATTTAATAACGACTAATCAATCGTTTAAATATTTAAAAAAAAAAAGGAGTTATACTCGTCGCGATAAAGATTTTACTCTTATTTACTTTATCTACCGTACTATATTAAATTATTTTATCGAATACATAATTTAAAATAACATTAGAACGTGATTATTAAAAAAATACCAACGATTATGAAAAAATGAAGTGTATTAGCTTCTTCACTAAATTCACAATCGAACTATTTAAAATGTATTTTTTTTTTTTTTTTTAATCTAATGATTGTTTTAATCGTGGAATTAATAATGGTAAATTTATTCATCGGTGCTTAACGCGCATGCATAATCGAATATAATTTATATTTTCAATGGATTTAATATTAATTTATATTACGAATCAACTGATAAATTAATATGAAAAAGAGAGAGAAAAGAGAGAAAAGAAACAGGAGGATCGCGCGTAAATTCATTTTCCATTAATAATAAATTTACAATGCTCGTCATAAGCCCGTATTATTGCATTAATAAAATTGTTACATTAATAAAAATATCGGAGGCATTTCTAAAATGAATTAAATAGAGTATTACCACTCCTCCTCCTCCTCTCTCCCATCTCCCCTCCTCGCTCCATTAAATAAATTATTTCATGTCCAAAGCACACGTTGCACATGCTAAAACAAATATTTCTCACGATGTCTGCAGGCACTGGCACGAAATGCATCGACTGGCTGGTGCGACTTCGGGTCTTTTCGGAGCCATCCAGCGACTCATGGTGAATGAGAAAACTTACCAAAACCTCGCCCTTAACTTCTCAATACCACAGCACAATACCGATATCTACGATGGCTTACCCTGTCCAATCAATTCCAATCCCTGCAGAAACGGCGGAGTCTGTTTCCCCTTGCTCAACAGCTTCTTCTGCAAATGCGCGGATGGCTATGACGGCATCAAGTGCGAATTCTGTAAGTCGAGCTGAAATCTGCGTTTGCCTAATGTGCCAAATATCCTTGTAGGTAGGACATATGCTTCACCAATCAGATTGATTTTACAATAGAGGGAAGCGGATAGGATTTTGCAGTGTTTAATAATTTTCCGACCCGCACATCTATGAAAATCATTGATTTTTGCATATTTCCTTCGTTACGAGCGATACATTTCAAAACAATTAAATGTCAGGAGATTTTATGCTCAAGTTTTCAAGTACACACGATTTCTATTAATAATTTATGCTTCTGAACAATCTTTATTATACACATTTTATGTATATATATATATATATGTATAATGTGTCCTATTAAGCAGAAAAACATAATCCACCCCATTAAGAATACAGATTTTTTTTTTATATTAACTTATTGACATTGCCATTGTTGTACATGTCGAATAATAATGATAATGTATCAACGCGATTAATACTTTTGCCAAAATTAGAAAATCATCGTTTCGTTGTTACAGCCACAGGTGGAGAGAATTCCGAACAGGCGGTCAGATTTAACGGAGAGAATTATTTGCAATTTAAACATCGCTTCGGCAGAAGGTTTGTCATCAAACATTAAAAGATATCTATAATTTAATTACTTATGGCTAAAATTCTTAATGTAAAAGTATGTATTAAATGACTATTGAAAATCCCAGGTACTCATTGGTATTCAATACGTAATAATATATTTCTTTGAAGTTGAAAGGCATTTTAAACGTATAAATTACTGAATTCGAGACGCTTCATAATCAAAGAATTATTATTTTACTTCAACAGTATTTTCTTCGTCAAAAGAGACAATTAAAGTGTTCAAAAAAAAAAAAAAAAAAAAAAAAAAAAAAGGTTAAAAAAAAAAAAAAAAAAAAAAAAAAAACGACATAATTTACGCCAACATAGACCAAACATTTTATCTCAATAAAATAAAGGCGTAATCCGATGATAAAGTTTTTTTATTCAAGTTTATAGCTTTGAAATACTAATAGAATTTAGCAAAGTAGCAAAACTAATATTAGTCACTGAATTAACAAATTAAGCTTTAACGCAAATAACAAATGCTTAACATGCTGATATAGAAACTAACTTTTCCTAGTCCTAACACTACTAATGCCACAATCGGTGATTACATCGATGAGTCCTACACTGACTACGACACGGAAGACGACGCCTATTACGATTATCAGAATTACGACTATAGTGAGTAAGTCTATACCTCAAAACCCTCAAAAACTTCTATCAAAATAATTCTTTTATTTAAAGTATAGTATATGTAAAAAATTGCTGACTGTCCTGAAATAGCCTTACGCTTGGAAACTTAACACTTTAGCTGAATGAAGGATTAATTAGTTAGTTAGTTTAATCGTTTAAATCTAAAAATAATTTCCTTATAAATACAAACTCAATATGTCTACTTTAGTCGATTATTTATACTTGCATGACTTTCATAATTACCGATACTAGGCCAGTGTTAATTAAACATTAGCTTTAGGCGTACGAACCAATTTATGCTCCTATTGTCAAAAAATAATTACTCAAAACACTTATATGTAATGGTATACGATCGATAATTATTCTTTAAAATATTAAATAAAAATATAATATTATCCAAATGTTACATGCATTCACTTCATAAATATTCATCTCAATTTATGATCGATACATATATATATATATATATATATATATATATATATATATATCCCTAAAATTAACGTATTTATCGAAAAATTAAGTAAAAATATATAAGAAAAGATTAGCTTATATTATGCATAATGTTGTTCTTTTTAATACGTATGGTCGGTCAAGAAAATTAAAAGATTACAAAGAAAATGTTATTCTGCAATTTGTAATGTTTGTTTTCTCTTTGACTATCTTGCATTGCATGTTGACTGTATTACGTGAGGGGCGGGGGGAGGAATATACATGTTTCTATACTTGGTAGCGTACAGTAACAATGAGCGGTATGAATATCAACTGCAAATGGCTTTTGCATCGATTAAACGTAATGACGATGGAATTCCAATTATAAATAATTGAAATTATTGATAAAAAATAAGTCAAAAAGAAAGAAGAAAAAAAAGTGGCCTAGTATGGGATCGATACTGATCTGAAGCCATGATCGCGCCGCTACTGTTCCATCATCCCTTCGATTCGTAAATTTTTAAAACGGTTTCTCACGGCGCGACCTGAATTTTCAACAGGAGGAGAGAGCAGCAATCGAATAAATTCGAATTGAGATTGAGGACGACTCATCCGGAAGGTGTTATCGCATGGATCGGCCGGGGAAAATTGGAGCATCTGATGCTGTCGCTGCACGAAGGTTACGTCATGCTATCCTACCGAGGCAAAAGAGATGAGTTTACCATCAGGAGTAAGGCAAGTGTAATGCGACGAATTGCGACTTTCGAACGACAAAATTTCGTGGCATTGTCATGCTTTTTTTTCGCATGGAATATGGGCCTTTGTAGATAGTCTTAAGTAAAAGAATGAAAATTGCTTTTAAATCTATTAGGTTGTTGAAATTTTGATTTTTATTTTGTATAGTGAAAGATCTGATGGGTGGATCATTACAATTACAATACTAATTGAGCTTAAATTTCATTATAATACATGCAAATAAATCCTTTAGATACAATTTTAATTAAAGAACGCTCTAATTAAACATTGCAAGAATGTTACGCAACAATTGTTCATTCTAAATTCATTGATGACATTTTCCAGTATTATATTCCAAGGCCTATTATTATTATCTTGATTGTTGTGTACAAATTTTGGAAATGCTTGCTTTATCATTTATCCTTTGTGGACATAATTTCCTTATATTCTTCACAATTGACACTCTTCGGTGTCTTGAATTCCCTTTGTGGATTGAACGGCTTTAATTATCATAATGAAGATATTTAAATAATAAGTTAAATAATTATAAGTTTGATTTGAAACGATGATGCTCTTAAAAATATTGAAAGTTAATGAAGCATTTCATATACGTTGAATAAGATGAAAAATTATATAATTGTTTTTTTGTTTTTTTATTTTTTTTGTTTTTTTTTTGTTTTTTTTGTTTTTTTGTTTTTTATTTCGTTTCAACTAAGAATCATAATTATGAAAAGTAACGTCACTGTCTTATGGATAATAAATAATCTTAAGCTCAATGCTAAGTCAATGTGATAATTGAATCACGTAGTGCTATATCAATCGGGTTGAAAAATAATTTATTTTTCTACAATATTGTCATTATCATTAAATCGTACTAAATGTGATTGTTTTGTATAATTGCAAAAACATTGCAAAAATTTGTATGTTCACGAAAAATTTTCGACAGTACAAATTTTTTTTAATTCGCTTTGAGTGTTCTTCAATTATTGATAAATTCCGCAATAACTTTTACGATCGTATATGAGTGTAAAATAAATTACTTTAAGCTATTTTTCGTGTATGAATGTGAAGGTAAGGGCATTGAAATTCAAGGAGTAAACACTTGAACAAGAATAGAGCTAAAGAGCCCTTTTCCTTCATAAATAAAAGTGCCGTATTTATTGAATAACGTTAGTCATTCAAAGGCATTTTTTCTCATAAATCGACTGAACTTTATAGCTTCCGTTAATCATAAATTTCCAAAAACTGCACCCTAAAAAACAACAACAACAATAACAACAACAACAACGAAATCTTTCCACGTCTCATTGAAATTCAACTCTCAAGTTTGTTGCCGTCCATGAAATATTTGCACGTTAAATTTTTAACGTATCGCCAACCTACGAGCTAAAGTCCGCTGTCCCGGTGATTTATTTATTTATTTCATTTGTTTGGCCGGTTAGTAATTTTCTTTCATTTTCACAGGAGCGCATCGACGACGGCTTCTTTCATCGCATCCGGGCGATTCGCCGACGACGCTCGATACTCCTGCAGATCGATGAACAGTCGCCGGTGAAGCTTGCGAGCGAGAGTGGACCCTTGACGACAAACGGGAAGCTCTTCGTCGGGGGTAGACCCGGGCACAGGGGCCTCAAGGCCTGCGTGCGCGACTTCGTCGTCGACAAGCGCATCATCGATTTGGCGAGGCGAAAAATCCAGCTTTGCCACGAGAACGACGTCTGATAGTGCGGCGAGTGTGCGATATCCAAACATAACCTCTAAAGTTGAGAAGTGCCCGGCCGATCCTGAACTATGATCGTTGTACAGAACAGCATGCATCATTACGTTTATACGTTTGTTTACTTGTTTTCTTGGCGAATTTTAGCATCCACGAGTCTTGCCGAAAATCTTACTAATATTCGCTCAATTTACTTATTTTCTTCATTCTCTCGTAAAGCAGCAATGTTAAAGAGTTGCGACACATACGTGCCGGACTTTGGCCTTCTTTTATACACTTTACGAAACCTCTGTGTATGGAAAATTATAAAACTATCTATTAATACTTATTTGCACGCGAGGAATATCAAATTTGATTAACGAACTTTGCGAACTGCTACGCAACTAATTATAATATAATATTGACAAATAAAAGAGTTATTGATGGAAAGTAAGGGACATCACGGAGGTCTGTGAAAGCTACATAAAATTAAGCTCTTCGTCAATCATAAATCAAGCAAGACGTCATCGCTAATGATACAAATACGTGGTTAAATGCTCTTTATCACAGTATCAAAACTACAAATAATCTTTGGTGCGCTTAATTCAAGATTTTTTTTTTGTATCTATATATTTGTAAACGTGTAATAAATATATTATGAATATTTAATGTCAGCTGCAATCAGGGGCTGATAAAGGTGAAGTTCAAGTGCTACGTTCTTATCGAAGGACAATAATATATTTTTAAGATAAAGCCACGAAATTCGTGAAATATAAATATATAAATATACATTGAATACGTGAATGTGTATCTATTTACGAATTTATTGCGTATACGTAAGACTTCGTGTTGAAAAAATGCATATCTTTTTTTCATAACGATAAAGAAAATAATGAAACGAAATTTGTTTACTGTTAAGTTACACATACGAATGTTGATTAAAAAATTTATAGATATTTGAATGTTAAAGTTATAACTATTGTATTAAAGAATAGTCGATTTACGTTTTTTGTTAGTGTTACTATTTCTTGAAAAAAAACGTGCATACTCACACTTATAAAAACACTGCTTAATATTTAGAGAGCTCCTGTATATTAGTAAAAATTAAAGAAAAAAAGAAAGAAAAGAAAAGAAAAGAAAAAAAAAATAGTAAAAATAAATATTATTAAAATGATTCTTACGATACACCAAAAATCAAAGATTCTCTATCTTTGCAATGATATACCATCGCAATTTTAATTTACATCCGCAAGTAAAATAACGAACTTGTTCATAGTCTATGCATATATATATATATATATATATAACAGTAAACAAATGTCGTTTAAAATAATTTTCTTCACGCAAGAAAATGTGCGAGCAAAAGATTCATTTTCGACGTTCTTTGCTCGAAGAGAACATCATTTTAAGCATAAAATCGATTATAAAGAAATATAAACAATTTTAAAAATCAATCTCAAACAATTCTCGCACTTATAAAAATATGTCTACACGCGACGCCAAGACTGACTATTACAAAAAATAGAATGAAAATAAATAAATAATATACAGAAGAAAAATAATTAAAAAAGAAAAAACAGAAAAACAATGCCAAGATAGACATACCGCAAAGTTAATCGATGTTATGTTTGAGTGTTTCGGTAGAGAGATTTAACGTTACGCATATATTTCTCATGAATGATGTAAGTAATAAAAATACGCTGCGTGCATAGATTAAGTATAAAAGAAAAATAATAAATTTAAACAATAAAAGCATATTGAGCAAACAAAGATAAATTATCATAACAATAGTTATATATAAATTTCAAATCAATAAGTAACAATGTAGTTAAAGCTTTTTGTAAACTTTTGACAAAATGTCCAAACGAGCAAATGTTTCTCAGTATAGATTTTAAAATAATTAATCGAGTGTTGTATTAACTGCCACGGTAATTAAAAAAAAAAAAAAAAAAAAAAAAAAAAAAAAAAAAATGTTAATAATACGTAAAGAACTTGATGTGCACTTTACCGATGTACCACATTCCATATTAACAAAGCCTCTCATGAACGTTGAACGTAGAAAACTGCCTGTAAAAGAATTGATGTAAGAATTGTACAAGAAGTTTAAATTTTCATTAATTCTCCTTTATTGTATTTCACTCAAATTTTAAAGTACATAACAATGACTAAAAAAAATAATGATCAAAATATGAACTTTCATTATTACAACAATAAATTTGATTATCGTCACGGATAAGAAGATTATTTGAAATTAAAATACAATAAAATCTTCAATAAAGTAATTTATACGTGTAAAATACACACACATATATATATATATATATATGTTTTTCGCTTGTATTAAAGTCGGTTGTAATCATAAAATATTTTATGATATACAATCATAATACAATACAATAAAGAAATACAATAAAAAAAATTACCTTTGTATTGAAAAATTAATTTTAGTATTTTAAAAATATGGTCTCTTACGAAGGTTTATTATATATTTATATATCATAATTTTCTAATTACTCCGTTTTTTTAAATTCATTTACATTTGGTAAAAAAAAAAAAAAGAAAATAATCATTCCTTCAGTATTTAAGACGAACATATAAGAATGAAGAAAATATCATTTAAATTACTTTTATTTTTAAAGATAATTATATTAAAAATTGAAACTTCTTGTTAAAAATTTAATATTATTTCCTGTAAAGAAAAAGAGAGAATAACTGAAATATAGAGCAGAACAGGATAAGCCTCGTGCATAGACTGATATGTATGTTTGAAAAAAGTGGCATATTTCCTGAAACTGTAAATAAATGCAAGTTTAAATTAATTTAAATACTATAATAATGCCCTCGATTCAAGCAAGCGCAATTTTTGAAAACAGTACTTGTAAGACAGAAAAACTTATACAAATATAAATACTGACCTAATTCTATTTCTAAAAAGCAAGAACCGAGGATAAAGTTAATTGACACATGAAATTTTTTGGTGCAAATAATATTATCATGGGTTAATCATGGGTAAATCTGGAGAAAATTTGTGAATCTCATTGTCTCGAGAATGAAATATTATATAATCCATGGCCTATTATAGCATGAACGATAAGTACATATGAATAACAGATGGAAAAGCAATTAAGCATTTATTATTTAGAAGACGAATAATATTTATAAACAATTAATTGTACAGTAGCCTATAAGATAATATAATTACATATGGGAGCGCGCGGTAACTTGAAATACGTAGAGATTTAATTGCTTCTATTATTATTATCATTATTCTTATTCTTATTATCATTATTGTTATTATTATTATCATCATTATTGTTTGTTATTATTATTATTATTATTATTATTATTATTATTATTATTATTATTAGAATTAGTAGTAGAATTAGTATTATTATTAGTAATATTAGATTTATTATTCAGGTATAAGGAAATCGATATCAGAAGTTTGCTAAACTTTTATTGTACTAAATTTGCATTTCGTGGTTCGTTATAATTTGACTTACAAATTTAATTAGCGAAATAATGAAAAGATAAAAGCAATTTGACATATCGATAATTTTGCTAAATAAATTGGATAATCAATTCATATCATTTATATAAAATATAAATATATAAAACATATCGTTAAAAGAAATATTCATTTTTATAATAATAAGTTTTTAAAATAAACTTTACACTATTGACTCTTAGCAGTAAATTCATTATTTACTCATTAAATAATTGTTAAGTAAAGACAAATATTAAGTTTATATAATGACATTAGTGTATTATCGTAAAATAAACGCATAAAATGTTTCTCGCAGACGATAATAAAATAGAAAAGAAAATTAATTGACGAAATAATTACGAAGATTATCATATCAAAGAACGCAGAGTGCGTAAGTTTAAAATCAAAATTTTGATCGACAGAATTTGTATTAAAGATATTGACACATCGGACCAAGTAATTTCCAATTCACCTTAATAACTTGAATTGAAAATAACAACAAATCATTACTGGAACGAATAATGTACTTTATACTCTACGAACATTGTATTAACAATCATTTTAATGCATATCCAATAAAATGAGAAAAACAAACTCCGAATTTACCGCAATAGACTGCCATGGAGTAAATATATAGGAAATGTTTAAAAGCAACTATTGGAAATTCGACTGATTAGTTTATCGAAAAATACGATATTCTTCTTTAAATCTTTCTTCGTTAAATTATATAATCTTTGGTTGGTTTTTTTTTTTTTTTTTTTTTTTTTTTTTTTTTTTTTTAAATAAAATTATTTGTCTATTGTCGACGAAAGCCGCTATACGCACCTTATTTAAACGATTATTAAAGCAATTATTAATTTAATAAATGAGCATGAATGTATTATTAAAAAATTTTTGCTAAGGCAAAAATTCAAATGCAAGGATTAAGAAATCGCAATTACAGCTAAGTCTTGGACCTAAATTTTCAATCTATGGCGAATTTTATTACTTTAAGATTATATGCGTCTACGAATAGGAAAGGTATAATACTGGTGCGATAAGACTACTTCGGTACTATACAAACGAACAATGAAACCACTTGAGCAATGAAAAAGTGAGCTACCATATTACATAATATGCGCATTGTAAAGTAACTGTATATATAAAATACAAATTATATGAGATATCTTGAAGGAACGCTGCATTCAATTTATTATATAGTCCTATTATTATATTATTATGGCCGAAGTGCAGGATAACGAAAATTATGGCAAAATATCTTTTAACCCATTCCAATGGACTACAAACATTTTTGCAATTAAATTAAATTAAAAAACAATAAATTATATTTACTATAATGAGTTTTCACAGATAGTCATACTTTTATATCGCTGTAGCTACAAGTATATTCACTTTTTAATTCCAATAAAAATTGATATTTTACCTTTTTTTCTATTCACATATATAAACCTGCAAATATTTTCCTAATACGTTAATAAATATTTTGATAAAATGAAATTTATCTATATATATATATATATATATATATATATATATATACAGATAATTATAAAATACATTTGATTAAAAAATAAATATATATTCAAATTGATAAATTAATAAAATTTATATAATTTATCATGCAGATTAAATGAATGTTTAAGTGTAAATAAATAAAATCTTACAATTAAAAATAATTTAAAATTCAAAATTTATTTACGAGTACTTTCATCATAATAAATACAGTGTCGTAATAATCCCCAACATTACGATTACCATTACTTATAAGAATTTAAAAATTTTATATAAGTAAATCATTAAAAATATCATAATTCATATTTATGATGAAATTTATTTAAAATACAAAATTTTCCAATATTCTGCTCGTTTTCAAATAAAAGCATCAAATAAAAATTGGGAATAAAACTGGGAGAAAAGTACAATAAACTATAGAGTGATTAAATACTAAGAAATTAAATATGTTATCCAATAAGTAAATAAATAATCCGAATGAGCTGATAATAAAATGAAAGTGATCCGAATTCGCATGCTTTAACATGTATGTACACTATGCGCATTCGATATAAATAAATAGTCAAACTTTCCACGACATAAAACACTCTCGTATGTATTTGATGTATATTTCTTCCATCCGTGATTCAACAAAGATCTCTTTATGTCCTTCGTCCTAGGGACGACATTGCCATAATATTTAGATATTTCGGAGAAAAAGTCGACCAACTTATTATACATAAAGTTTTAATGCTATCAGCACTCATTTATCCAGAATGATGTAGAGTCGTACACTAATAAGAAAAATCTAACAAATCTGTACAATAAATTTGTATACAATAAATTAATATTCTCAATAAATTATGTTTTATGAGCTTGGATTTTTCATTCTCTCATAATTACTGTGTCAATGGCACGTACATACAACCAATATGTTTATTGTTATTAGGGTAAAATCAGTAACATAAGCATTCGTAATGTTACGATATATTATTTTTAAATATTCAATTGTTGCCAAATTTTTAGGCAAATGTTACGCTATTATGAAAAAAGCAAACGATGGAAAAAAAAAAGAAAGTCAATATTACAGACATATTGTCTTTTGTACGTATTATTAAATATTTCTATTTAATATTGTGTTTAAAAAAGTAATTAAACGTTTTATTGAAATATATTTACCCTTACGAGCTAGGAACAATATCACATTTTATAAAATTTCTTTCATCCTTCGCCGTTCACTACACTATTTACAGTTAACGTTGCACATGAAATTGCAAACTTATGTTCTTATAACAAGCCCTGCAGCTTTACATACCAATTTACCAATATATTTACATATAAATTCACATTATATATCCCGGATCAGTTTATCAAAAATTAGAACGATAATCATCGATCCATTAAGAAAAAAATGTTTAAACTATCGTTGGGAAGACTGTAGTACCGACGAGTGCCTGACTTTACAGAAACGAAAAGTACACGTCTTCACCATGATATTTTTGCATTGATGTGAAATTGATTGACGCCATTTAATTAATAATCCTCATGTGGGATTATTCATTAAAGTGCTGTGGTATTTCTCTCGACATTTCTTCAAGTTTTTGCCGGAAAGTCGTTCTAATTTCTTCAATGGGCTTTATGAGGTAGATGGGTACGTGATCGTCTCTACGCTGTAACATAATAATTTATTCACTATTTATTATAAATTGTTAATCGATTATACATAGGATTGACTAAGTAACGACTAAGTAATAAATATATATATATATATATATATATATAGAATTTATATAAAAAAAAAAAAAAAAAAAAAAAAAAAAATTTTTTAATCACATTGTTATATTTATAAACTACCACTTTAAATTATTAAGACGCATGCACTCTGCTGAGATTCATAATTATTATTTTTTTCATATACTGTAATAAATAAATTCAGGAAATTATTAAAATATTAAAAAACTAAAATTAAAGAAAATTCTCAAAAAGTATTCAAACGACATTTGAAAACATAACATGAGAATGAGAAATTAAAACTAAGCTGACACTGATACCCCAAAGATATCACGTACATAGTGTATTACAAGGTATTGGTTATTAATAATAATAATGTATTCGTTAATGACTAAGTAGATAAAGCGATGATGGACAGTTGAAAAGATATAAGCACTCATTGGCAATAGTCGTTCCTTGATAAACGAGATCAAAGAAATGTGTACGAGTGTTGGTAATAAAGAGGATACGTACTTGAAAGAGGCACTCTCCCTCGAAATCGATAAGTTTCTGTTTGCGAGCGCGCAACAGCAGACCAACGAGTTTGTCGTTAATATGCACGTAGATATTGAAAAGGTCACCAAAGGAAATGGCAAGGATCTCTGGCTGATCACGACATGGCGTGCCGTTTTGATAAATCACGTCGCAGAGCTCGAGGACTTCCTTGAGAATGTGAGCGGAGGCCTTGCGACCCCGAATATCCGAGAGGGACCCAGCAGCCGGCCTGTTTTTCAAATTTTCATATGAAATTGAATAATGTAAATATAAAGTGTGTGTGTGTGTGTCTCTCTCTCTCTCTCTCTCTCTCTCTCTCTCTCTCTCTCTCTCCCCCACTCTTCCACTCTCCGTTCATTCTCAATAGTCAATTTATTCGTCCTTCAGGATTGACATAAAAGCCTCTGTACTCATTCTACTCGTTCCATCTCCATTATACTTAGACATTGCATTTACGCGACTGTCTAAATCTATCTTAGTATTATGAGAAATCCGGCCTTGAAATTTTCTTTGCTATTAAAAATTTATTACAAATATCTATGGCAAAGATAAGGGATCCTTTTTAATGAAACTTGAAATTTTTCATTAATTAAAAATGATAAATTCAATATATTCAATACTTATTGCAGAAAATCAGATATTTTTATTGGTAACGTTCGATAATGTAATTGAATACTTATCGTCGTATCTTGAAAATCAAACTTACTATTCGATACCTTATTTCTTGAATTGAAATTATAAATGTAAGTTATATGTTGTTGTCATTAATATCAAATATAATTGAGTTGAATTTTATACAATGACAATTAACTCGTTTTAATGAAAATATTGCAATTTTGATGTTTTATGAGAAAGACAAATATTAACGTTTCGAAGAAATTCAAAAATAATAACCGAATAAGTATTTATAGAAAACTATGAGCATTATTCGTGACAACGTTAGGAATAACTGCATCTGTATGCACACATACGTGCGCACATAAAGTCATTGAAAAACGGAATTGCGCAAACATGTCTGTGCGTAAAAATATTCGAGTGTGCATTTATTTAATGTTGCTATAAGTATAATATCATATGATATTAGTATAATATATATGAAAGTTGAATAAATATAGATAGATGTATAAATATTTTTTAAATACGCACGCGCGCGAGCGTATTTACCATCCATATTTATGACATACACATATAAGTATTTAAAAGGAATAGAGATAAATGTATTTTAGATAAATATTTAAACGATCGGAAACTTTACCTTCCGTATTCCTCTTTGGAGAAAGTGGGTTTTGGTAAATTGAGCCCAGAAGAAAATGGATTTTTACTCTGGCTGGTCATGTGTTTGTTTGCTTGTTGATCAAACATCGCCACTCTGTCACCCAGCGACTCCTATTACCGCGAATAAATAAATATATTTATTATTATACTGTAACAAGTCATAGATTTATCTCACTGTCACTAGCTAAATTTAACTTTTGTTATATTTGATAGATAATTAAATCAATAAATAATGAAGAGCTTAAATTATTAAATTATTTCCTTCTAGCCTTGAAACGTTATCTCTTCATACCGAGTACATACGGATTACAAAATTAAAGAATATAATACTCTACATAAAAATCTATTTAATACACAATACGAACAACGATAATCTACGGTTCAACACACGCCACGGACATACGATAAAAAAGTTGAATATTTAGAAGGGCAAAATACCAGGGAATAAAAATCTTTTAATGACCAATCACTCGTTGCTCTACTCTATTGTACACTAAACGATCATGTACATCGACATGTCCCTCTAGACAATGCCGGGGATTCAAATCGGATGACAGTTGGCGCGACTTGGCAGACGCGAATACAACTCGGATCCACAAAAAATGTATGACCGAGTAAATACGGGAGCAGAGTATATAATTATTTTTACTTTAATGATTATGCAATAGTTAAAATTTCACAAACGATACGCGAATAACTAAATTTAAATCAATTTTTAAACTATCGGCACATCTTATTATGACAATAACTTAGCACGATAATTTCTCGAATTATTAATATCGCAACAGATTAATTAATTAAGCTGAAATAGTAAATTGAAATTTAAAATTAATTATAAAATATTATACCTATTCAAAGGGGGCAAATTATCTATTATTATCATTAATAATGCAATTTTTTTTTTTTTTTTTTTTTTTTTTTTTTAAAAATACTTAATATATTAATATGGATGATTCCGAAGATTTTTAGAAATAGATAAAATGACATTCTTTGGTGAAAATGTTAAGGCTCGCTTGGAACTAAATATTATGCTACTCGAATTTTCTCAACACCATTGTCGTCAATACAGCAATTCGTTTAAAAATCTTAATTTCTTATAATAATACAACGTTGGAACGAATGTTATTGACATTTCGAATTTCATTCTGTATTATTTTCTACTTAATATAATTCTAGGAATTTCTACTATCGATGCCATTAAATGCAAACATCTGAAATATTGTGAAATCGACTGAATATTCATTAAATTCCTAACCTTGTTCGATCAATTTATTCATAGATTACGTAAGAAAAAAATATTGTATTTATTCATTTAAAAATAAGAATTTTTAATTAAGTGACATGAAAGTTTAACAAATATTGGCTTTAAATGAAACAGATTTTACAATAACGAAAATGAGATTAAAACGATTAGAGAAAAATAAAATAAAAAATTGAAACTACAATATTCTAATACTTGTACTATTGAAGCGCAAACTCTTTTCTTTATCTTCTATTACGTAATATTCAATATAAATTTATCTCAATTACTTACGTTTTTAACATTAATTTATTCAAAAATATATTTTGTTACCACTACTACTATCGCTACTACTACCACTACCACCACTACTAGTACTACAATTACCAATAATAATAATAATAATAATAATAATAATAATAATAAGAAGAAGAAGAAGAAGAAGAAGAAGAATAAGAAGATGATGATGATGATGAATAACAATAATAATAATAGGAAGAATACGTTGTTTTTTAATTATTTAATTTTTTATTTACCTAAATGTTTGCAAATATTTTTATTTGCAACCGATCGATATTTAAATTAAATTAATTAAACGCAAGATTCGATGAGCTATAAGTCTTTATTTTCCTATATATTAGCTCATTCTACATATACACGGATGCAATATACAAAATAAATATTGAATCGTCGATAATAAATATATAAATTATGTCTGATTATCATTGAAATTTGAATTTCTAATGATTGTTTCGATCAAAGTCTGCGTTATGCTGAACATTATAGGTTATCGTTAAAATTGCTTATTCTTCATAATTCGTATTGTATGTAATTAGTCCGGAATAGAGGAATTCCGGGATTAAAGAATCGCATTGGGCACATAGAAAATCGTGCGAATATCTATCTATTATACTTCTTCAACAGAATCGAAAGTAGATTTATAAAGAATTTAGAAACATTTTCATGACGCTTACAACCGCATTGCTGTGTTTCCCTATAAAATAAAGTAAGACACGATGCATGTCTAATTATATCGCTTTATACACAAATTGGTGATAATTAAAACAGTATATCATGGCCACGAGCAAAATTCACCGAAAATGGTGGAAACGAGATTTGGCTAATTGTCAGGGAGCTTGCGACCGTGGCCCTGGTCATATAAGTCAAATTTATGGCAACGAGTCAAAAGCGCCGAGTATTCGTTCTACGTAGCATTCATTCAGAGAACACGTGATCACGACTGTCTATAGATATTTACGTTGAAAGAACGTATTTTAGAAAGATAATTTTGGTTCACTTAAATAAGACAGGAAAAACAATAGTTGTTGGAGCTTTCGTGAAAATTTTACGATCAACTCATTCATTTTGCCTTTAGCTACCATTCGCTGCACTCTTATTGCAATCTCACCGCAATTCCCGAATATTTTTTTGACTTATAATTATGACATTTAACATTTAATTATCGAATTCGTCGATTTTAAACGTCTCACTTGTCCTTTAATAAATCGTTTTTACCGAGAAATTAATACTTACTAACATACTGGAAGACATGATTTCGCCGATTGCAACAGCGTCACAAGCACAAAATATCCGAGCAAGGATATAGCCTTTTCAATGAACAAAGCAAGAGGACTGACGGTCTGTGCACTGCAAGCAGGCGACTTTCTTCCTCTAGTAGAATCCTTTGAGCTCTTCTGTCGATTTTAGAGATGAAACGAATGTTATTGTGGTATCACATGCGTGCGCGAATCTCGAATAAATGACGTCTGGAGTCAAGAAGCGTCTTTTTATACGAGCGATAATCGTCGAAAAAGCTCGGCTCTTTCCCCCACCAATTTTACGTCACGCAAACCGACGCTTTTCATATTTTACGGTTTTTCTGGCAAATATTCGGCCCTCTCCAAGATCCGTGCCAAACTAGAGACACGTGCAGAAAACTTCTGTGCGAGAATTGTTACTGAGTCGGATAGACAGTAAGTGCACCGGTGTCATTCATCTTAACCCTGCGTCGTCTGCCTGCAACGCGACATGAATCACTTTTTCCCCGCATTGCACATCCGCATGTCTATATGTCGCCACATATCCTGTCATTGATAATTAATTTTTTTTTTTTTTACAATAGTAATATATTATATATAATTTGCATAATGCGTGAATTAATATTTGTCATTATAATAAGAGTATTGATGGGAGAGAATTGCATGTAAATATTTGTTGTATGCTCATAACGATGGCATTAAATACACGTCAATCCCATATTTTTCATTAATTTTAAAATTAAATTTAGTATTAATTAAATATTCATCTTGGATATTCATCATAAGTTGGATGGGATGATTAATTGAAAATTAAATTGACAATCATTTAAGGTGCGCGTAAGATCGAAAAATCCAAAGTAATTAAAATTCTTTGAAATTTTTCAATTATAATTATATAAATTTTAATTCTAATAATGTTCTAAGGATTAAAATTAAAATATTTACAGCAATAATATAAATGATTTTCAATATTCCTGTTTATTGGAATGATAATAATAATAGGGAATATTTAATCATTTATAAAGAAAAATGCAGCTTCAAAAAGCTTTTCTTTAGTTGAGTATTGTTTGTTGCGTCTAAATCTGAAACGATCCACAACAATAAAACGAAAAAATCGATCTACTAATCCAGTCGAATATATCATAAAATAAACTTATATTTATCCCTGTAAAATAGAACTTTAAGTATATTGAATATACAGGAAACATTTAGATAATTAAGTTTCCTAATATTTGGCTTTATGGCTATATTAGTTTATAATCGGATAATAATATTTTTTACTAAGATTTTTATATTAAAAAATCTATTTGTCTGTCAAGTCAAATAGAATCACATCGAACTATATCGAAAAAAGAAATTTTTTCAAACGACATAATATATATTTAATTAATATCTAACTTTATCTGCGTCGTATAAAGTAACAAGATTGACATTGATATTTACATCTATCACGATGATAATAATTAAATAAGAATGTTTATATAACGAATATATATATATATATATATATCTAAAAATTTGAACTACAAATTTTGTTAATAACAATAAGAATTAGATGAATGGTATTTTACATGGCGGTATGAGATAAAATTTTTTTTTATACTTTCAATGATCGTTCATCAGTTAATTCCAAACAACAAAATTGCATCACAATACCCCAAATGAAATACATTTATCATAAATATATATTAAGAAAATATAAGATAACTGAAAATATTTAAATACAAATATCTAAGGAATATAAAATATGTATATATTAAGAATAATAAGAATCGTGTGGCAACGTTTCATATATATATTTTTTCAAAAAAAAAAATATATAAATCATTTAGTTTGTTAATTTGAACAAAGCGCACAAAATTAAAATGTCAAAAAGCAACAAATCAATGTAATGGCATCGAAAATATCAGTGAAGGCATCGACATTCACATTCCTTGGCTAATTTTACTCGATATAATCTGACAATTTAACTTAAACCGTGTGGTATCGTTTTAAATATAAATATTGAGAAAACTCTGCGCTCGGAACAGTCATTCAAAGAGACAACGACATTGGTAGAATGTTTTTAATAATATCAATCTGTTTATTATTTATGACAAAAAGAGAAATTTCCTTCATCTCTTAAATAGAAAATTATATATAGAATTGATGTAAATTTAACTGGAAACTGTATCAAAATAGCAAATTTGTTTATTTAAAGATCAAAAAATACGATGCAGCAGAGGATTTATTGTTACCATAATATCTAATAAATTATTCATTTTATCGTATGAGAAATAAATATTTATCATTATACATTAGCTTTAAAAACATTAATATTATGTGACAAAATTAATAAAACTTGTTTCAAATTATCTAAGAATTGATTCTCAATGAATTGATTATGAAATTTTAATTTTTAATACAACACATTTTATAAAAGCAAGTGAACGAAAAGAAAAATTAATTTATCTCATAAAATGCTTTATAAAATTTCATCAAAGATAAATTATCAACGTCATGAAATATTTCTACTAAGACAAATCTGATAAGTTGGTACAGTTTACAAATAGTTTAACTATACTTTTTAACGATTTAAAATTTGTTCATAGTTTTCATTTAAGAGGGAACTAAAATCATTTTACTATTTCATATAATTTTCACCTCTAGTAATGAGTATTTTTACTCCTCTTCGATATTTCAAATTTTCCATAAAAATTCAATAATTCAATAGTACATAATATAATGAAATTATAAGTCAAATTTATTATTTTAATATTGAAATAATAAAACTATTTAATTTATTTAAAGTAAGATTTCTGTTATAATTGCTCATTTTTTTTCATTTTGAATAGATGAAATACATACAGTGCGTAGCACAATGACTGTACACCTTAATATGGGATTTACAGTCAAAATTTAATATTCTTTGAAGTATAATGCGTTTTCACTTTATTCGTAAAAATAATATTGAAAGAATATAAAAGAACGCTGCATTTTATTAAATTCAGATTTCATTCCTAATAATATTTGAACTTTAATGTTTGAAATATTTTAATTGTACTGATATTAAAATTAACCATAAAATTCAACTGTAAAGTTAATTAATGTGCAGGAAATTTAATAACTTTAAAATAATTTAATTAAAGCAGTTAACGTTGAGAATTTCAATAAATACACGTATAACTAAATTTTATATTTTTTAGAATATTCCTACAAATCCTGAAAACAACTCTTTAAATTATCTCTTTTTTGTAGTTATATAGTATATTATTACACATATTATTATATTATTAGTTTTATTTAATTTTTAAATAAGGTTTTATATTATTTATACTCAATGTAGTTAATTGAATATATAGCGAATGAATTTCATCGTTGCGCATATACAATACATACACACTCGCGAAATTAATATAATAAAAAAAAAAGTCGGACAAAGTTCTGTAATTAAATAAGAAATCGATTTAAAAGTAATAAAGATGGAAATTTTATTTAACGAAAATCCACTGGATAGTTTAGACACGAAATGAAATTTAAATTCTTTTAAATCTTAAGTAATGACGTTTTCTAATCAAAACTTTGTTAACTTAATAAGTATTATGCAAGTTCAGATAAACTTTTACATTTTTGTTCCCTTTATATTCATTGTAAGTATTTATATCCAAAATAAATACAATTAGATATTTAAATTCCCGTGAATATAATTTATATATTATAAATCATTTCATGATTATAATATATATGAATTGAAATTAATTTCTCCGCCATTATAAATAAACATTTTGTAATTTAATGCAGCTCATTACTTGCCAAAATGCACGTTGGATTAAAAAAAAAAACAAAAATTTCTATTCTTATAATTCGTTTCAAGTATCTTACGAAGAAACATAAATTGTATTTGTTAAATTAGACAATAAATAAGTAATTTATTAATAAGTGTAGTAAAACACTAATTTATTACCGTAATTACTGCTGTTAGCATTAAACTGGTATAAAAAGTCTGAAAAGTAATTTATCAATTACTTTAGAAACTCCAGTTATCTTTCTTTTAGATTCAATATTTGACAGATACTTTTCCTTAGCCCTTGGCAATTTTATTAATTTAAATAGACTATTTGAACCTTTTGATTGACTTATATTAAATTCTTTTAATTTATAGATTTGTAAATACACAATGAAGTACAATACTTTTCATAATTTATTAAAAATATATGATTCAATATTCCTTATAAATTTATTATAGATATATTCTGCAAATATATATAAAAAATAGTTAATTATATGTTGGATAAATTTCGTACATAAGTAAGAATGATAACAATCCATGTGTTACAATTTATTATTAAATTTCTACGTATTTATGTATTATTATATTATTATTAATTATTTTTTCTATTGATTTTCATACCGATTTTATATGCTTTTTAGAATCACTAATATCATATCTTTACCTTTACTCCATCAAATCGTCAATCATATAAAATGATAATTCACTCCATGTATATATGTATGTATATATATCAAGAACAATAATGTTTTCATTAGTTAATGTGAATGAGATTCGTATTGATATTAAAAATAAAAATGAAAGGGTCGATTGGCTTTAATACTACCAAAAGTAAAGCGAAATTCAGTTTTGACAGTCAATCATTGCAGAATTTGGCAAAGAAATATGCCAAGTGCACACATACTATATAAGCTAATCATATGATCGGACATCTTGCACTCATCGTAGAAGAAAAATCTACGCGTGCAATTATAAAGATTCTGCACGTGCAAATTTTGATGGTTGAACGATAATTTTCACCCTATGCTTTCTCGGCGAACAAAAGATTTTCGAGTATCCTAGAGGAAAATATGAATATTCCAAATGTTGAGTTTAAATACATATGCTGCAACTGTGTAGAAACAAGATTTATAGGAAATTAGTGTTTTTGATGCTTAATATTTTAATCAGATTTAAAAACAATTTACTTTTAGTATTAATCGAATAGATTTTTAATTAATATAAATTTGAATTTACTTAGTCGTTCAAACCCGTTCTTATTGAAGAGATTAGTGTTTAAAATATTGAAATAGAATTAAAAAACTAATCTAACATAT